CTCCCGCCGCCGCTCCAGCCGCGCCGCCGCCTCCTCCGCGTCCCGCCGCGCCGCCGCCGCGCTGCCGCACACACCGGGGGTCAGCGGCATCCCCGCAGCGCCCCGGCACCCGCCGGACCGCGGCCGTACCTGGGCGGGGGGACGCGGGGCTGGCTCCACCGCGCCTGCAGGGAGCAGCAGGCGGCGGCGCGGGCGAAGGCGCGGCTGGTGCTCTCCCACTGCTGCCGGCTGCGCTCCTGCAGCTCCCGCCGCTCGGCCGCCCTGCGCTCCGGGCCGCGGCCCCGCCGCAGCCACAGCGACATCGCAGCGCGCCCGCCCGCGACGGCGCCCGCCGAGGGACACGGCGAGACGGGCTCCGCGAGCACGGAGGGAGGCGGGGACCGACGGAGGGAGGCGGGGAGAGAGGGAGGGTCGGGAGATGGAGCGGCGGCGGGGGATCGGTTCGCTCCGGCCCGGCCCGAGCGAGCGCTCGCAGGGTGTGCGGATACAGCCCGGGCCGGGCTCGGAGCGCGCAGCACCGCGGGGTTTGTGGCGCTGTAAATATCTCAGGGGTTAAAGGTTTCTGTTTCTGCCCGCCTTGGCAGGGCACCAGCGCGGCGCCGCCCGCAGCGAACCCGAGCGGACCGGCCGCTGAGTGACCCGGGACAGCCCGGGCACTGCCGGCGGGGCTGCGGGCATCCCGAGATGGCTCCGGGCATCCCGAAGTGAGAGCTGGATATCCCAGGACAGGCTCCCAGCACCCTGGGCTGGGCTCAGGGCACCGCAGAACTGGTCCTGGCACCCCGGGAGGGGCTTCAAGCGTCCCGGGAGGGCTCCGGGCATCTCTCAGGCGGGCTCCGGGCACCACGGCAGCCTGGCAGCGGGGAGGGAGGCGGCACCAGCCGGCAGCCCCCGCCGGGGACCCGCACCCGCCCTGCCAGGCACCGATCGCTATCGCCCCACGACCTGTTTTTCCAGCATAACCGGTAAAAACACCACATCTGGGGCCCTGTCACCGGCAAGTCCGCTCCCCACGCAGCGGACGGGCTGAGCCTCCCTCCGCTCCCACCTCTTCATCACCTCTCCGCGTCCCCGCTCGGTGTCATTTTCCCACCCAACCCCTCACTGAGGTGTGTCATCACTCCCGCGCGTTGAGGTTTGTTTTCCATCTGTTCCCTATAAAATATTTATCTCCAGTGAATAATTAACGCCGACCCGCCCGGCGCTCGGAACGCGGCCGGGGCAGCGCACGGCCCCGGGCACGGCCAGGCCCGAGTCTGAGGGGGCGATGGGGGTGTGGTCTCCTCCTTGGGCTGAAAGTCCCGCCCTCCTCCTCTCCGACCAATGGCTGCGCACCGGCCGTACGGCTGATGTGCAGCCATTGGTCGGAGCGGAGGGGGGCGGAGCGTGGCGTGGGCGCGCTGCCGGGTCGGCCCCCGCCGCCTCAGAGCCCCCTCAGCCGGGGAGCGGTGAGGGGGAAAGGGGGAGAGGAGTGCTGGTCATGGCGCTGCTGCTGGAGCACGAGTTCAAGCCGCTGCCGGCTGATAAACAGATCGAGACTTTGCCCTTCCTGGAGGCCGTGGCGCACCTGCCGCCGTTCTTCGGTGAGACCGGGGTGGCCGGGGCTGGGAGATGCGGGCTGGGACCAGGCCTGCTGCGGGCTCAGCCGCTCGGGGTGCCCCCTCCCCAGTTCTGGGTGGTGCCCCTCTACCTGATCCAGGGCTCACGCCGGGCTTGGCTGCTCTGCCAGGGCCGGGGTTGCATCACGATCCTGTCAAACCCGCCGAGCAGCCCCGCTGGGAAGCGTCCTGCCGTCCCCTGGAGCGCCCCATGCAGAGGCATCACCCGGGGCTGCCATCCCACCCATGGATCCCACCCGTGCCGGGACACGGGTGGGTGTCGGCGTGGCCGCCCTCGTGGCACGATGTGCCCGCTGCCCTCCACAATGTCAGCTATTGTGTGGCAGCCCCGGAAGGGCAGGACGTGGGGCTGCCTGCCTGTGGATGGGCAGTGTCCGGTGCCGGTCAGGCTGTTCCAGGATGTTCTGCCAGGGCTGTGTCCCGGAGCCAGGGGGATTGGAGGTCGCTGGTGGGGCCGCAGTAGGTGGCAGGGCTGTCCCAAGGACCAACAGCCACGTATGAAGCTCTGAGATTCCTTTCTAGTCTCAGACTCAGTGCCCGGGTTGTGCTTAAAGTGAAACCTGTTGGTTTCAGGAAGTCTGTGGTATCCCCTGTGTCACCAATGTCTGACAACTCTCCCTCTCTGTCTCCACAGATTGCCTGGGGACTCCCATCGTCTACTCGCCAGTCAAAGCAGACCTGACTGGAAATATCAAGGTAGGAAGGGACTCGGGAGGGCTCAGAGAGGAGAATCCCTGGGGAGAGATGCTGTGGGACTGGAGGTGTTTCAAAAGGCTTTTCTTCCCACGGGGACTTTGGGCTCAGCAGTGGCTCACCCGGTCACAGGTTTATTCCCAGAGCTCCTGCCCAAAGTCCCTGCTCCTGGGTGCCAATCCCCTTTTCTGCCCTCAGAAAATCCGGGCGGTTTATGACTCCAACCCTGCCAAGTTCAAAACGCTTCAGAACATCCTGGAGGTGGAGAAGGAGCTGCACGGCTCAGCCTGGCCCAGGACAGGCGCGACGCTGGCGCTGATGTGGTTGAAAAGGTGACTCACGGCGTCGGGAGCTGCTCCTGCTGTGTCCCGGCATGTGGGGAGCTGGAGAGCTCCAAATGGAGGCTGTGTGTGCTGGGCTGGTCCCTGTGGGCTGGGCAGCTGGCAGTGGGGTGCTGTGTGTGGGGAGCACAGCTGTTGGGAACGCCCTCCTCAAATCTCCACCCTGGGAATGCACAGGGGAGTTCAAGCTCAGAGCATGAGCCCACAAATTGGACAGGTCAGGACCCTGCGGTGCCTGGAGGATCCACGGGGCTGCATCTGACCCTGCCCAGCTCCTGGCCTCACCTGGTGGTCCATCCTGCCCTGGGGGCTCCATGCAGCCCTCCTCTCTCTCTTCCCTGGATGGACACACAGGGGCAGGCACCAGCTCTGCGAGAGGGATGCACTGCTGGGACTGTGGGGTTTTGGGATGCTTGGAAACACCAGGCTGGAAGCGGGGAAGCAGAACCCACTTCCCTGAGCCAAACATCTCTGCTCTTCTCCCAGGGGTCTGAAATTCATTCTGGTGTTGCTGCAGAGCATCTCTGACGGGGAGAGGGATGAGGAGCATCCCAACCTCATCCGAGTGAACGCCTTGAAGGCTTACGAGATCGCGCTGAAGAAATACCACGGCTGGATGCTGCAGAAGCTCTTCACGGTGAGCATTCCCTCCCTCTCCAAGCATCCAAACACCATCCCTAAAGCTGCTCCTGTGCACTGACAAGTGTCCAGAGACCCCACAGCGTTGGCACATAGCAACAGCCCAACCCATGGTCTCTGTTGTGGGAGTCAAACACCCTCTCCCTGTTTTATAGGGCTCGGTCTATGCTCTTCCCTACAAATCTGATTTGCTGAAGGCCTTGGAGAAGGGTAAAGAAGTCAAGGAAGAGGAAAGCATAGAAAAAATCCACCAGTTTCTCACGAGGGTCACTCCAATCCTGGATGCAATTTATGAGATGTACACGAAGATGAACGCTGAGCTGAGCTACAAAGCCTAAAGCTGGCACAGGATTGGCACAGATTAAATAACGTGTGATGGGTGTTACCTATGTCTTCATCACTGAGGCAGCTGGGGCGGCTCCCAGCTCTCCGGTGACTTCGATTCCTGTCTGGATCTGCAGTGGATAATGTCTTTTCTAACAAAAAAATAACAGTAATTAACTTTCTATTATGAATACGGCAATAAAACAATTGTGGGTGTCACCCTTGGATTTCCCAAGAGGAAGAACAAGTGTTTCTAGTCCCAACTCCTGGATTCCTGTCTTCAGTGGGGCAGGGAATGAAGTGTCCTGCTGATGAATGAAGTGGCACTTGGACTGTGCCTGGAACCCACCGACGGGCACCTTGTGTTGATTGCCACTGGATTGTCAGGAATGATGCCCATGGAGGAGGAGCTGATGACTTTCCTGGGTGATCCCAACTCCTCCAGTGCTGGCGTGGGATCAAACCCCTGTGCTAGGATTCAGAAACCAGGGACTGTCCCCGTGTTGTTTGCGGTGCCTTATGAGCCCCAGGAGCAGCAATTAATAAAAACTGACAGTACCCGTGGCCTGGGAGCCTCATTTGGGGCTGTGTCAGCCCCAAAGGGTGTTTGGGGAGACTGTTTTAGGGGAGGTGTTTTGGGGCTGTTCCTGGCAGGGCTGTTTTGGGTGAGGAAATTCGGGTTTTTTTTTCCTAGTGGAGCCGTTTTCAGGAGAGTTTTGAGGAGGATGTTTTGGAGCTGTTCCTGAGAGGCTGTTTTGAAGCTGTATCCTGGGAGAGCTGTTTATGGGAGGGTTTTTGGAGCTGTTCTTTGGGAGGGCTGTGCCAGAGACGTTTTTCCTGGGGGCTTATTTTTTGGAAGGTATTTTGGGGCTGTCCCTTCTGGGCTGTTTTGTGGCCGGTGTTCCCGGGAGACTGCCCGGGGGCGGTCGGGGGCCGATCCCGAGGGCGGGTCCCGGTGGCGCCTCCGCCGCTGGAGCCGGGGCCGGGGCGGGGAGGGGCCGCGCTGGGGACCGGCCCCGGGCGACTCGGCGGCGCCGGAGCCTACGGGACTTTCCACGGGACCTTTGGCGGTACGGAACCGGGGGAGCGGGCAGCGGGGGGCACGACCGGGAGTGGGACGGGCCGGGACACGGGCACCGGGGGCTGGATGGAGCCTCCAGTGCGGGGACACGGAAACGGGCAGGATGGAGCTCTCCGGGCAGCACACGGGGACTGGGACAGGATGGAGACCCCAGGTGAGGCCGGGGTCGAGGGCTGAGCTGGGCTGGGCCAGGTGGACCCTCATGGATGCCCCGGCACTGTCCGGACAGCCTGGGGACTCAGGA